GAAACATTTACATTTTTGTTCGCGTGCGAACAACGGCCGATAAATAGATCTGGGGTCGGTTGTATAAATTAAACAAATCTATGAACTATTGAGTACAACAAACTAAACTTTTCTTTTCTGTCTAAACATAATAATAATGCATAAAACTACTCATTTAGTTGATAAAATTAAGTTCAAGTACTTACAATATATGTATATTGAGAAGGAATGTTTTTAATTTCTTGCCTATACACCCTTTAAGCCAAACGCCTTTGTACAACCGACCTCTATTCAATTTCGTGTTAGGTTTGTAAGGTGGGGGGGGAGATGGGGTCATCAGAGAAACGTACATAATTAGGAAGTTCCTCGTGGAATAAATCGATACGCGACACTTTCAAAAATATCATGCCCCTCACAGACTCAAGAAATACGGCAGCTTAAAATATAACACAATGAAAAAATGTTTAAATGTTTCAGGAAAAAATCGGTCTGAATCATTCAATGGAATAGCACATCATGCCTACCAAGAGTCCATGTTTTACTAAGGGGCCGACCATTTAACTTTTGAGGGGGGGGGGGGATTTTGAAAAAAAATTCCTGCAAGGCTATTCTGAACAACAAAAAAATACCTGCACTAACAAACTGGGAAAAAATATCCTGCCCCAGTATTTGGTGCAGGGATCGATTTGACCAGTCCGAGAAGATCAGCTGGTTTGATTTTCAGGGACTAGTGTAAAGTTAATTTCTTGTTGGAAAACTCCTCAAAATGCTGGAAATAGCTCATCTGAGCTTCAAAAAATCCAAAATTTTCTGGGTGGGGGGGGGGGCATGCCACCGACCCTTCTAGAGGCTCGCGCCTTCGGTGGTCGACTCAGTTGTCTCAGAGTCCTAGTTAAGCATGGCCTGAGCTGCTCCCCTATGACGTATACTTATTAGTTAAACCATTAGTTAAATCCATGTTTTACTAATCGAGTCTATGTTTTACTAATCGAGTCCATGTTTTACTAATAGAGTCCATGTTTTACTAATAGAGTCCATGTTTTACTAATAGAGTCCATGTTTCACTAATAGAGTCCATGTTTTACTAATAGAGTCCATGTTTTACTAATAGAGTCCATGTTTTACTAATCGAGTCCATGTTTTACTAATCGAGTCCATGTTTTACTAATAGAGTCCATGTTTTACTAATAGAGTCCATGTTTTACTAATAGAGTCCATGTTTTACTAATAGAGTCCATGTTTTACTAATAGAGTCCATGTTTTACTAATAGAGTCCATGTTTACTAATCGGGACCAGTCCATGTTTTACTAATGAGTCCAGTCCATGTTTTACTACATGCCTGCTTAAATCCACTACTCAAAGTCTCAATAGCTCGTAAAATCAATCCGTATTATCTACTTTTTTCAAACTGAAATATATGTGCTTAGTTTTCTCTGAAGTAGTCGCATAAATCATTGAGATTAGGGCTAGATTTTATTAAATTCGCGATGTGACTTCAATGACAATGTCAATGTAATTAGTGACGTGTTTGACAGTTTGTATAAATAAACTTCCGAATACACAGAAATTATAAAGTAATATCAAACCTGATGTATAGAACATACGCTGAATTTACTTTGTTATATGCACAATAACTGCATGAGCGACTTGCTCTTTTAAGAAACCAATTTGCTAATAATCATTCTTTTTTCAAAATCATGCGGACCTTTATTTATCATTTAAATAATATACCCTTAAAATACTGACAATTGATTAGTTTTAAGCAGCTACATTATCCATGACAAACAGCAAAAAATGAAGATATTACCCATACTTTTCTGCAACTTATCCAACATATCAGACTTGTAAACACGATGTCATACCCTATAGGGAGTATCGTTAAGTTGAAGTTCTGAGCAATTTCAGAACTCTGTACGTCGCCGCCATGCCATTAAGTTGGGGCCATGGTCCCGCTTCCCCGGGTCCTGGAATTTAATGAAGTGTGACGTGCGTATTTTCAGCAATGTAAATTAGTCGCACTTCATGATATAACAAAATTGCTCGTTACAAATTGTATGAAATTCCATGTCTTAAACAAAAAACCAAATGTTGTTGAATGCTATTAATCGTCTTCTTTCACTACATAACTTCAGGCGCATTCCTAATTTCGTTTAAAAAATATTTAAAGTTATCTAACTTTTGTTTAGGGCTGAAACACGTATTTCAATTGCTCGATCAAAATACGTTACACTTCATTGAATCCAGGGTAAGCGGGACCATATAAACAGCCTCTTATAATCAAATTTCTCATGAGAGCGAAACGCAGTGCCGTAGCTAGCTCGATAATTGGGGGGGGGGGCAGATATTCATATGTTCGTGTTCTGCGCTTTTAATTTCTTTTGAAATCAATTGTTTTTATGGTCTGTGAACACGAATATATGAATATCTGCCCCCCCCCCCCGATTATCGAGCTAGCTACGGCACTGGGGAAATGCAAATTTTGTATCATCGCCTCTGATCATCGCCCATGTTTGTATATTTTAAATTACGATGTATATTAAAATACGTATACTTTCAAACATCCAACCTCGCATCAGACTTATAGTTCTTCAGCGAAACTTTCAGTATACATATAGATTATAGCCGTAGGCGAAATTTTTCAGTTTTGAGAGCAAAACTAATTGTTTTGCCGCTTTTGGGAGCTTTCAAAATGGTTGTAAAACTTTTGAAATGGATAAAAATTTACTATTTTCGACCCTCGACCTCGACGTACGACCCTCGTTATAAGCGTCAATTGCATTTAGGTAATCAGTTCCACAGTTTAGCTCCATCACAACAGAAGCTTTTCTTAAGGTCGAGAAATAAGCGAGATTTAAAAAAAGCTTTTAAATGTTTTCCACGTCATTTTAAAAGTTCTTTCAGATAAGGGAATCTAATTTCTATATTCATGCTATTTCCGATCATATCCCTCAACAGGGCCGTTCCTAGACGCGATAATGGGGGGGGGGGTATATTCATATATTCATGCTCGCTACCGTAAAAACAATCGCTTTCAAAAGAAATCCGTCGGGCAGAAGACAAATATATGAACATACACCCCCAATTATCACGCTAGGAACGGCCCTGTCCCTTTAATTAAACGACTGAACTTGCCCGGCTTCAATGAAAATAAGGCCGAAATTTGACGCTTAAACTGGACTGCTTAGAGCACAACATGCTCAAATATAAGTAATTGACTGTTTATAGTAAGTATATATAGCCTTGAATCTAGCGAGTGTACAAGTGTTTCTAGTTTATTTTAATTGGCGCGCATGGATCGATCAATTGAAACAAGAATTTGAAGCAGAAATCTTAGTCTTGGAGAGTTTAACAGCGTACTTTTATCTAGAAATAGGCAAACTAGTTTAAAATGATCTACGTCTTATATTTCCTATCAATAACAAGAGAAAACAAGCAAGAATGATTAAGGTTCGACTGTCTATAGTTGAAGAAAAGTGCCTAATTGTCTGAGGATTTTTAAGGGTTTTTTGTGATTTTCTCGATATTATAGTCAGTATAATTCCGCTGTAAAAAAAAGCCCCAAAATAATTTTTACATCAGGTTTTAGAGCAACAGTTGGTCTTTAAATTCCGTAAATTTCAAGGAAATTGTAGTTTTCCCGGATACGGAAAATTAATTTTCAAAAAGTGTAACAATTTAGATTTTTTTGGATCGCAAAAAAAGACCATTTTTACACGCTTGTCTTGACATTGAAAAATCATTTCAAAAATTGCAAATTGGACCCACGTTCTTTATAAACATCTTGTAAACACGTTTAAAAACGAAAGGTGAGGTTTCATCACACGCCAATTGAGAAAAACGAAATTTTCGAGAGGCCGTAGCTCACAATATTTTTTGCTAATTTCGCGAATCTCGGGTATGTGTGAGGTTTTGATAATTTTCGTCGTTTAAAATAATATTTCAGAAAACAAACCCCACCACGTTTCTGAGTACACATTAGAGTATCGCTGGAAAAAATAAGAAGATTTTTTATTTTTCCTCATGTGCCACGTATTCTCGATTTTGCTTGGTTTTAGTGGACATTGTCTCTTAAGATAATCACTTTGCACTACTTCATTTTCATTCAGTGCATACTTTTTCAAGTATATGATGTATCACATAGTTTATGCAAAAGAATGCAAGCTAAAAAATGCAAGGTGAGAAAAGTTCGGGGAAGCTAAAACGGTAATTTCAATGACATAAAAATGACTGGGTTTGTAAGTCGAGAGACCGACTTAAGGTGGCTCCCTACAGTTTTTGAAATATGACAAAATTGTGAATTAGATTTAATTCTTTGAAGAGATGTTCTTGTTAGAAGGATGACAAAAAGAGAAAAGCCCTAACAAAAAGGAAAGCAAAGATTGACAAAAAGGGAAAAGCCCTGGGAACGAGGTTGCCTTTTTGGTCAAATTTTGGCGCGAAATTGTGGACCTTTTTCGTCTGCTACCGAAGCCCTTAAAACTCTGGGATGGAGGGATCTTTCTCAGCGAAGACACTATCGTAGGTGCCTTTATATTTAGATTGTATGCAATCTCACTTGACCTGACCTTATACCTCATCACTACCTAAACTCACCTAACAGACTAGAGTATTAAATATTAATCTCATATCACCTCACCTGGTGACATTAGACGCTCGACTTAACTACACGCGTAAAAACGCTGAGCCCTGCACTGTTTAACAGGATTGAACAATGTTGCGCTGCCCACGTTGTTCACACAATATTGAACAATATTGCTGAGCCTGAATCGGGTACAACAATATTATTCAATATTGTTAACAACTGTGAATATTGTGGGAAGCAAAACATTGTTCAATCCTGTTTTCATCTATATTGCAACAACCTGATCGTTTTTAGCCGTGTAGATCTCATATTTAACCCTCACTAGCGGACGTCATCTGACCCAAACTCTTCTAACCGCTGTAGCCTGACCTCAACTTGTCTGGCCTTCTCTCTATTCACAGTGCTGCCCAGAACTTACCACACCTTGCCACTCCCTCACCTGACCTCATTTCACCGCAATGGATTACTTCTGACCCAATATCACCTTGCACCTGTCCTGATCTTACCCTAAATGACTAGATCTCACCCTGCCTGATATTAGCTGAAAGGCTCAATCCAGTACGGAGACATGACAAGGACGACAAGAAACAGCCTTAAATTTTACAATTTTAAAATTATAAAGAACTACTTTCATTGAGAACATCGACTACAACGACGACGGCTATTGTTAATATCATGCATGGGACATCTGCTATTTTCAACTGGGTCCTAGAACGTTTCTCAATCACTAACCCCCTCAATCCTGAAAGTGAAACTGTATTACTTTTCTTGCGATGGATAGCAGACAACAGGTTTGTTTCTGCAATCATTTTGGTTCAACGAGTTTGTTTGCCGTTCCCGTCACGTTCCCGTCCTACATGCAAGGTCGCTATATTGTCTCCATTTACTTCACACGAGCTCACATGACCAGCTAGATCTGAACTTAGCACATTTTCTTAACCATGTCTTACTTTGACGCAGGCTAAACCTTACCCGATCTTACCTGACGTCAATGGAAATAACTTCAATTCACCTGAAGATGTTAAGCTGTACTATTAAGCTGTAAATGTTATGTACAATTAGTTAGATTGTGACGTAGGTTGCCAACTGACAAAATAACAAGTCTTCGATGTATGCTTTTACCTCTGGATATAGTGGTCGGGGCACAGCGACATAGTTCTTCTGAACAGGTGCGCTATCGCTGAGTTTGATATCCATTTGAAGCTCTTTGATGCACCGGATATCATTATCTATGGCAAATGCATCAGCCTCTTCGATAAGCAGCTGCGTCGCAGCTTTTCTTTCCTCACTGTTCAAATCTCCCAAATCCACATCGCCCAAATGTTTTGGCCACTTCGCTGTTTGGTGGTCATCATCGTTGTTAGGGATTTTGGCTTCTTCATTTCATTTGGAAGGCGACTTTTCATCGTTATCCGTCTTTAATTTCACCTCGACTGGAGTGACTGATTGACAGAGTTGTAGACTCGAGTCGTGTGACTTGGACTCGAGTCGGACTCGAGTCGCAATTTTTGTGACTTGTGATTTGACTTGTTAAAGAGACTGATGACTTGTGATTTGACTTGAACTTGGACAAAATGACTTGTGACTTGACTTGGACTTGCAAGAAATGCCTTGTTACCAACGCAAGTCAAACGTAAATATCTAGTAAAAATCAAGTTTTCCAAAATCTTTGTGTTGATCGATCGATTGTCGTGTTGTACAATTTGGGCAACGACCTTAAGCTTCGGATACACGAGCAATATTTTTGCTGCGATGGTTACGCAATGGGCGATAACAGCATTGCGTTGCCGTCGCACAAGGTGGCTACACTTGCAATATTTCACCAGCAATATATGTTATCATAACGCTTTTCATTGGCTGGTCAAGAAACGTGTCATTGACCAACCTTGACCTTCCTTGACCACACCTCCCAATTTTCGGCAATCATTGCCGAAAATCAAGTGATTTGAAATTTCGGCAACGATTGCGCGCAGCTTGGCGTTGCCGTCGCAGAGCATGATACACTAGCAATTTCTTTCTCGCGACGGCAATGCAACGATTTTACCACCATTGCATTGCCATCGCAAGAAAAGTATTGCCCGTGTATCTGTAGCTTTAGTACATATCAATGGCATCGACAGAACTTGTGCCGGCGTATTTTCTGACAAAGCGGGGTTTTTTTCGCGATTTCGTGGTAAAATTTCTGACATAAAATAACGACGCCGTATTTACATATTTTGCCGTTTTGCGTGGGAAAACATGGCCACATGTGGCGATAAAATGACTTGTGACTTGACTTGAATTGAATTGAATTGAATTGACTTGCCACTCGGAATGACTTGTGACTTGACTTGACTTGGATTTAGACAAAATGACTTGTGACTTGACTTGAACTCAGACCAAATGACTTGTGACTTGACTTGGACTTGCAGGAAATGACTTGTGACTTGATTTGGACTTGCAACATAAGACTCGTTAACAACTCTGCTGATTGAATAAGTTCTAGGCGCCCTGGCACCGTTCTGTTCCGTAATACTATGTCATGCTTGGTCGTATTCTTCACTTCTACTTCCACTCGGCTAGATTTCCCTGCCATTGCTGTCAATAATGTGTCCGAAACGTGGAGACCAGACGACCACTGACCGTTCTCATCAGCTTCGAACAAAACTGGTGTGGGTTTACCAGTATTCACTCTGCAGCTCAAGAGGTGAAAGCATATATATAAGACTTGTTATTTTGTCAGTTGTCAACCTACTTTACAACCTAACTAATTGTACATAACATTTGCAGCTTAATAGTACAGCTTAACAAAGACACGGCGCCTGACCCTACCTCGTCTAACCTCACTTCAGATGAGCTAAACAGACCACGTGCACATCTCACCTAACCTGTCCTACTCTGACGTCACCTTATTTAACTCAACCACGCCTCACTTGACCTAAGTTTATAACTTCCCTAATTATACCTCTGAGCAGAGGAGGAGTGAGGACTATACCGGCATGCAACGCGGTCAGGCGCGGTTTATTACATATTATCGATTTCTCGTTCTGCGCCGTTATTGTTCGGTCGGCTTTCGCTGTGTTTACACTTCGAGGCTTCGATAGATTTCAGAAAAGATTTTATAGAAAAAAATTGTAAAATGGTGAATTTTTGCACTATTCCTGGAAGGAAAGCTTCGTTTTTGGGTGGACACGAGCTTCTGTTTGTTCACTGTGTGTCAAAACAGCCTTTAATCTTGATTCCGGAAGGATTACCGTGTGATGAACTTGAATGTAGTGAGGTTATAAATGTTTATAGTTTTATGGATAGTTTGAAGAATAGTGCTTTGTCCAGCTGTGGCGAAAAAATGATGAAATTGTTCGCTGATTGCGGTAGTCCTGCACTGGTACACATTCATTCTAGTTGTGTTTTTAAGGTAAGATGATTTATATAATATAAAAATATAATCTCATACTGTATTTAATATACTAAATTATATAAAATACAGTCATCTATGATGTGATTGATATATTTCGCTTAAAATTGTTGTAATACAGCAGTATTTAAACGTATTTTTATTTCATATCATGTAGTTCTTCGTACCTAATGATCCACGGCCGGGAAGGAGGTAACAAAGTATATAACAATGTTATCATTGTTATGTCGTGGGAGTTTGATATTTCAACATCACCAACATCCCAAGCAATCCCACCATGTGACCCAGATAGTCAAGATGATGAGCTGGACAACTGATTGTAATTGTTTTAATTTACCAATAAATCCTGTTTGCCCTGACGGGCTGACGGACATTCATACACACCGAACGATGGAAGAAGCGCCCAGTGGTAGCAGTGTTGATGCACTTGATGGTGAACCTGAAGGAGGGGCAGTGAATGTAGAGAATGAAATGGAGGAAATTCAGCACTCTCACAACACTATATATAGAGTATATATGTATTGACTATTGTGTGATGCATTGCAAGAATTTATTATACTGATCAACCAGTTATCTATGCTCAAAATATGATCAACCAGTTATCTATTATTTTACTTTGCCTAATGCCAGATTATTTTACTGTCTAACACTAGACAATTTACTCATCAGGGGGAGAGTGCTGACACCCAATGGGTTAAAAAAACATTCAAACAAAATGTTTGGCAGAAGCTGCAAAATTGTTTATTGGTGTCTGGTGTGATACTGACATTTCTTTTATTTGTAAGGATAGAGCTGGAGAGCTTCTAGTTGTACAGTCTTGGCCCCAATCTCCTACCCAGAGCAATGTCTGTGCACGGGCTAGGAAGGCATTGGCTCTGGGGAAATAGATTTTTTCCTGTGCTGTGATTGGTTTAACGTTTATCAATAGTGCATGCCGACAAACAACCGGAACCCCTAAATTTAGGGGTTCCAGTTGTCTATTTCCCAAGAGCCAATGCCTTCCTAGCCCATACACAGGCATTGCTCTGGGTACGAGATTGTCTTGGCCCTAGCCCGGTTTTCCTATATTGCATTGTTTTCCTCACTTCCCTTATTCTAGCATAAGTATTGGTATCCCATGGACACCATCTTATCAGTTTTGACAATCTATGTATGGTTTTCATGATTTTCAATGTTTTGTCTTCTCTTGCTCATCACAAATGGGTCGTTCCAGAAAAGATCCACACTCCCCCCACAGAGGAAATTTTTGCCGTCCGGAGGGGGAGGGAAAAAAATTGTTTCTGATAATAGTAGGGGGTAGGGGGGTTAACTTCCAATTTCCCCTGTGGGGGTAGTATGGATGTTTTGTGGAATGACCCAATTAATAAAAAGATCACACACTACATAATTGATGTTGATAAAATTTATTTATTTTAAAATCAAAAAAAGTTTAAGATAATATTACTGTACTTAAAGATAATTAAAATGTTTTTAAAAATAAAATTTTATGTGCACAAATAAAGAGTTTTTAAAATGTCACATTACATTCATATTTTCACCAGTACACATGAATGGTATATGATGAAGTATATGAAAGGTGATGCTTTTGCTCTAGCTTAATGATGTATTAAAACAATCTAGATTGTATTACATCACATAATTGGTAAACCTCTTTAATCGTAATCATTTGCATGATTGTCTGCAACAGATATTAATTCAATGAATGCTTTATCTTCCTCAAATGTCCATTTATGAAGTTTTACTGGGGATTTCTTTGGAGGAGTCGGTTTAATCTTAATTTCTGATAGGAAACTACAAAACAAACAGCAAACATGAGAGGGGCAATGTCAGTGCCAGCACTATTAGACAACAACAAAGAAACTCATAGCTTTTTAGCAGGATTGTGGGCATGCTTCTCCAGGAAATTTGTGCACTATATGTTTTCTGAAATGCCACTCCCAGCATTGAAAAATATCATTGGCGTACGGGTGGACAGAAATTGCCCGACATTGTCATGGGTTTATTGATAGATGAACAAGAGGTATAAAATAAATTAGGAACATAACTATTAACTCCTATGCAGACTTCCAGAAATACTGTTTAAAGTCAATCTTAAACAATTTCCTAATTTTTAAAGCAGAATTCTGCCCAACTGAACACTGACTGGAGGGGTTGCAACTCCCAGCCTTGTATGCCTATGGACAGAAATTCTCACAGGCAAAAAAGCATTAAATTACAATGTTATATGATAATAACTTTTACCCCTCCCCCCCAATTAACATCTCATTGTCTCATTATAAACCCATTGAGTGGCAGCACTCTCCACTTGATGAGTAAAATCGTTTGGCGTTATACAGAGTAAAATACTAAAGTAGGCGCATCAGGGTGCATTGCCACTTAAAGGGTGAAAATACAATGTTTTTTTTAGTACAGTCACACTGTATTTTTACTATTTTATGTTTGTAAAAACCTTTGTACTTTTTATATACCTTTGGTGACGTTCCAGGACTCTGAAGCAAAGTTCGACTTAATGTTGAATTCTTCAAACGTGAAATTCTGTGTCTATTATTATTAGGTTTCCCTCGGGTATCACCTTTGGAAGAATATACCCGTTTTATAGCAGTTTCATTCCAGTTTTACTCCAAAATAGCCGAATTCTATAATAAAATGAAAAAATACAGTCAGTGCAGCATAAGCATATCTAACCTTAGAAGTTACATTAAACTTAAAATATGTAGGAACATAATTATATGTGTATGTTTCAAAATTATCATGGAAAATAGCTAGGAAAATAGTGATTCGTACAATAGTTTCCTTCGCGCCATGTTAATTGTCATGCGGTCTGTTCCCGCCATCGGCAATAGAATATAGCAAAAGTACCCCATTTTCAAACCGCGATTACTAGTCAATTTCGTCGAGCTACTTTGAGTTTTAAAGTACCAATTGAAAGAATAAACCTTCCTT